AACCTAATTGTAAATGTTAAAATTGTTTTGTAATTCTAATTCTAATTGTTATCATGTTTGCCACCGAGAATTAGCTCAAAGCGAACTTTAATAACTCTACCAGGGAGCAATCAATACCAGGGAGCATTGGCAATATTTCTTATTACTTGCGATTGAAATCTTTAAATTATTTGGATATTGGATTTGCAGCTAGTTCCCCAGAGCTATGTGGAGTAAATCCAAACAGGCTATAAAAATGGTTTATAAGTGAGTAATTTATTGACTACATCTCTTGAATTTCAAACAGATATTTTGATTTTACGGGTGTACTTTTCATGAAGCCTCAATTTTTTAAATATTTTCTAAATATGGCTACAAATTTTTTCTTTGAAGTTTTTTCTGTGATAAAGCAAAAGATGCATAAAGAAGTGGCATTGGTCATATTTCCTTTAAACTCTTTGAATTTTAAAAAAATGCAAAAGTTAAAAATTTTATCCGCGTTTTCCATAATGAAATACATTTTTTCCTTAATGAAATATGTTCATCAATAACATATCTTCAAATAAGGTCATGTACAATTTTTCAATAAGCAATTTTATTTAAGCAAGTAATTTTGCAATAAGCAATTTTGAAACAAGTTAATTTGCTTTTTTCTTTCTTTCAAAATCCACTTCCTATTTTTTCTTTAATTTTTTCCTCATATGTAACAGAGAACAGTAAAGAAAGAGGTACTGATCCCGTTCTTGGCACACATTGTATTTTTGAATATTGCAAACAAAAATTTTAAGATTTAAAAGTGCAATACTGAGAAGAACGGTATTTTTGGTACATGAAAGCTGTTCTAAAATATCAGTTCTTCACACACGCACACTCGCTCACTCTCTCTCTTTCTTTCTCTCTCTCTCACTCTTTCTTTCTCTCTCACTCTTTCTTTCTCTCTCACTCTTTCTTTCTCTCTCTCTCTTTCTTTCTCTTTCTCTCTCACTTTCTTTCTCTCTCCCTCTTTCTTTCTCTCTTTCTCTTTCTCTCTCACTCTTTCTTTTCACTCACACACGCACGCACTCACTCACTCACGCACTCACTCACTCACGCACTCACTCACTCACACACACACACACTCACTCACACACACTCACTCACACACACACTCACACACTCACACACACTCACTCACACACACGCACACACTCACACACACTCACTCACACACACTCACTCACACACACGCACACACTCACACGCACACACTCACACACACACACTCACACACACTCACTCACACACACGCACACACTCACTCACACACACGCACACACTCACTCATACACACGCACACACTCTCACACCAACACACACACACACACTCACTCACTCACACAAATTCTGCACTTTGCTAACATTTTTAGGAGATATTTAATCAGTAATAGAATTAGTTATATTTCAAAAGGTATTTCATATTATCTTTCGCACTGTATTGCCAAACAATGGGAACAAACAGAGCGAAATGGCAGTTTGAATATCTCAGAATAACTTCTTGTTGTTGGCGACTTGGATGGGATAAGGAGGCATAATCGACTTGAAGATAATATCATGTCTTTGCTTATCGGTATAATGTGTTGCAAATAGTTGAGATTCATTCATGTCTGTTTCTTTTGTAGAAGTAAGAAAGGTCTATTGTTCCTACCAACAATGATAGCAGATATGCACCATTTATTTAGAATGCCCAATAAATATTGATTGTATGGATTCTATTAATAAAAACGTTTTTATCTTTGATTTCTCAGGTTGGTGAATCTCAAAACTTTGGATAATAACTTAAATAAGAAAATTCCAACCGTGGATTCAGACTCGGAAGGTGATGAAGATGTGAATGTCAAAAAGAAGAAAGTCTTTCGAAAGCACGCTAAGAAGAATGATGATAAGAAAGAAAAAGAAACATTAAAAGACTTTCATGACAAGGATGGTAAATATATTTATGTACATAATTTGTATGTTTCCTCTATTCTGTATTGTTATGTGTAATATACGTTTATTGTTGTCAAATGTCAACAATAATATAAAGCTGTTTATAAGGAATGTACACATCAATTCCTACTTTTTCTTGCAATAATTTGTTTTTCTATCTCACCAAGCGTAGCCACATTTTCTCATCCTTCCTTCCTTTTTTATTTATTTATTTACTTATTTCTTTCTTTCTTTATTTAATTTATTTATTTAGGACCCCTGACCTCATACTTACCGTTATAGATGGTTGCAGTATGTATTTTTATTAGCAGATTTATATATATATATTTTTTTTCTAGCAGAACCTCACACACACACACACGCACGCACGCACGCGCGCACGCCCGCACGCCCGCACGCGCGCACGCGCGCACGCGTGTGTGGGGGTGGGGGCGGGTGGGCGCACGCGCGTGTCTCTCTCTCTTTCTCTCTGTCTCTCCACTCCCAGGAAAAAAAGTAATAAAATGTTCAAAAAGATCTCTAGAACGCTTTGTTTAGGAATTACTTTATGATATAGATTCAAAAAAATCCTGCATGGCAGGTTGCATTTGACATGAATATTTGGTTTTTGTTCTACAGTGCCGTCTAGTAAATTTTTCTGATATTGTAATAGTTGTTCTGCTTTTCCTCGCTGAGAAGAAACGATCAAATCAGATAATTAAAATTGGCCCAGCTGTTCTTGATTTATAAATGCTGTAACCGCCCTGACTTTGTATATAGAAATATTTATTTGTTTACCTTTACCTACTTCTTTTTGCTGCTAGTAGTATTGTCTGTAAATGTTAATGTTTATTATTCTTACAGAATTATCCAGCCAATCAGAACACATGGATTTTTCTGACAATGATGGAAATGAAAAGGGAGGTTTAAAAGGTTTTCTTGAAGAATTACATAAAAGCAGAGATAAATTTGCTGAAGAACTTTTATTGAGAAGTTCTGACAGTGATTTAGGTAAAATATTTTGTTGTTGTAAGCCAAATACTAACTACTCCAGCATATTGTTGGCAGAACAATGTGGCAGGTCATGATTGTTAACGAGTAATGAACACAAATTGAGTTACTAATAACAGGAGGGTCATGAATTGATTAATATTGTAAGCACTCATAGATAACCATTGCTTTTTTTTTCATCACATACTCGACAAAGAACTTGATATGCCTGCAATTAAATTAATGTTAAAAGTTATTTTACACATGCCCTGATATACATTTGAATTCATTATACAGATCTAATTTCATCAAATAAAACAGAAAAGGAAAAGAAAAAAAAAGAATCTAAAGTAAAAATGAAAGAAGAACCAAAAGTAAAAGAAGAAAATGAAGATGACAAGGAAAACAATGCCTCTAAAAAAAAAGGAAGTGAAGATAGCGATGAAAGTGATTATGAAATAAAGAAGGTAAGGTGTCATGTAGTAACTTTTAGGTGTGATGTATTCCCCCATAACTGTTGCACCATTGAATGATTTCAAAATTACATTAATAGAAACATCATTTGCCCTAATATAAGGAAGCTTTATCGAAGAAATTAAGTATTTGGGAAAAATAGTGAGAGTCCATATTCAAGATTAAATCATCAATTTAATTGTTCTCAAACTTGTAGCTGGTGAGGAGTATCTTCTGTAAAAAGATATATTTGGGGATAATTAGAATACTATGATATATGAAAATTAAAGGAAATGAAATTAATTCATGTCAAATTTTAATTGGGAAATTCAGTGCTCCACGTGCCTGGGTGCATGTAATTTGTTAATCTCATCATATGATTCAATTATTATCATAAAAATGTTATTTAATTTAAAAATTTGTAAACAAATATTTTTAACTTCGTGAGTTAATTCACATTACTCCTTGTATTTTTGAAAATTAAAGCAAACTAAAGAGATTAAGGCATTTAATGTGTTATTGAATGTATTTAAACATCAAAAGCAAAAAAACTTTAAAAATAATAGATTATTGAGAATTTTTTTATATGTGTCGGTAATGTGATGGATTCATTTTATCTGTAACATACAGTATATAATAGTTACTTTATTATCTGTTATCCTTTTTCCCCCTTTTTTTATTAATATAAATCGTTGCTATCTGGGTGGTTTATCAGGGCCCTGTGCTTTTGGAATGGGAATTATAGCTTACCAGTCTTTTATAGTGTACGGACTATTCAACACATTCCTCTGCTAAATTGATGTGGTTTGTGTGGCTGGTCTGAAATTTTACAGAAGTTACTATGGTGGGAAAGCATATCATGCTGCATGATAAAAAGAATGAAATCCAAAACATTAATTTAATGAGTTGCAATTAAAATGAGAAATAAGGATGATTACAGGGGGGCATGATTAAGTGGTCGCTAGCCCACGTACAAACTATACCTAAATTATAGTTATTTTGGTTGTGCAATGGACTTTTGGACACATTTCTCGGTTGTGGGATCGACGGTTACCAGCAGTTGGCACTCTTCTCTTGTGTGACCAACAGTGACCGCAGGCGGAATTAGCGGGGAGGTGCGGTCAGTGTGTCATTAAGATGCAAGTTTAGATTCGGGAATACTTGCTCATTTCTCCAATATCGAATCCAGGACGGACTCCTAGGCACACTCACTTGTGATGTTCACTCGTTCCATGTAATTTGAGCCGGTACTCGCTGCGACCCGCTCAGCTTATGCACCGGCATGTTCCGAACCGATATCACCCAAGTTCCACAAACTTTGCGGCGAAACGGAAGTAGCTCGAGAACGTTCGCTCCTAGAGTCAGCAGTCTAAGTGGTCTTTTGATGGCTCTGCGAAAAGCTTGCAGACCCCCGTCAGGTTCGTCATGGAAGGTTTTCATTCCGACAATCAGAGTTGTTTCTTTAAATAAATTTATGTTTTGGCCAGTTTGCGACCGGGTGGGGACGGCGTCTCCGCGACATGTGCCTTGCTGTTTTGTCTCACCAGGGCATCTGTGGTTCCCACATTCTCTTCGGTCCAAAACGCCTTCCCGGCCTCTGAACTGCAAAATTCCTGGCACGCTTAAAGCGCACTGTTTAGAACTCTAAAGCAAAATTCTATTCATGTTGGACGTGTGGATGGTTATTTCCAATATATAGTCTGAGTATGAAAAAGATATTTAACAAATAAGTGATAAAGTTATGTACAGTTACGTAAAAACACAAATGTAATATTGACGACCCTGCCACTCTAGACTTGACACCATGAAACACAACATTCAAATGCACCAAGCAAACAAGGATATCATGTTCCTTGCTACAGACACACAAAGTAAAATTGCAGACCTTGCATTTTTGACAGAGCAGATTTTACTTGCCATGGTCTGTATCTTTCCATAAAAAGGAAACACACATTTTCTGCACTCCTCAGTCTCCTTTTCCTTCCATAACACAAACATACAAATCTGCTATCTACATCACTCTTACCCTTTCACCTCCACAACCTTGTTCCCCCTTCTAGTCACATCTCATGGACCCTGCCAGTTATCTCAATCCCTTACTTCCATTGGGGTTGCCACACGTCATCAACCTTCCCAAAACTTTGCTTATAAAATACATTACATTGTGGCTTCCACTCCATCACAACAACCACCACACATTACTTCTTCTTAAAACTTCAGGCAAACATTTAAGAAGACACTCCTCGACTTTTAGCAATTAGGACAACACACGTGATAGATATTTTAAAAAAAGACATCCACAACAAAATTTAACAGCTTCAGGCAATACTAGAATAAGCTTTTATACATGAAGGAGTCATTACTGAACATGGTCTTAAGAATAATGAAATTAATACTTAGCCGTTACGTTAACTTACGATTAACTTCTCGAACTATAAATCTTATGATTACTTCTGTAGAGAATTCAATAAAAGGTGGTGGTGTTGCAATAATATTGCAGAATAATTTAATTTATAAATAATTAGACTGGATTAGAGATAAGAGTATCGAAATTACTTTTGAAGTAGTAGGTGTAGATGTAAACTCACTGAGGGAGCATAAAAATCATTGGCACTTATAGATCCCCAAATTCTAGTAGCCATCTCGATCAGGTTTTTGTCCAGTTTTCCTGATCCATTGAGCAAATGCTGAGATGGCCCCTTGTTTTGCTTCTGGACATAAATGTAGCTTCAACTATGTGCGCAATTTTTGTTGAACTCTCCTTTTGCTTGTTAATGTAAGAGTAGAGGTAAGGAAAGTTCTATTTTGTTAGCAAATGTAAGAAGAATCATACTTGGCAATTTCATGTACGATGCAATACGTTTTCTATAACTCAGAACCAAAAATGACTATTTTTCAAAAGATTGCAATCTTACAATTTTTAAATTTATTTTTATTTTATTATGTTAACTTTTACTCATCTTTCCAACTATTTATAGTTAAAATGATAGGAAGGAATTCTGGGAACTCAAGAAACGTGCGCAAGTTAATTTCTCTCCCCCCCCCCCCCCACACACACACACAAAGACACACAGTTTTACGGTTTGACTGAATTAAATCTAAATCTAAATGAAACTCCTATCGGTTTGAAAGAATTCTATCTAAACTCTTAGAAACCACAATTGTAGTTAATTATTTGGGAAGATCCGAACATTACTGTGACGTTATGTAATTATATAATACAAGTGCTTCGAGTCTTCATTGATGTGGAGTTAGGGCCAACACAATGTTACAACTTATTCAGCTCCACATATGACCTCATCATTACAAACATTGAAATGAATTAAATAATCTTCTCATATATTGATTTTCATTAATCTGATCACACTGCACAAATCTTGAAAATAATCAATTACCTGTTAGCCTTGAACTACCTAAACATCATTCACCCATGACGCAAGTGATACTAAACTACATTTGATGAATGAATTTCTCCTTAAAAAAAGGAATGGACTGAAGTACTTATTAGTAATGGTGCAACGAGAAATGGAACTTGTTCTTCGAGTACATTAAATCATCATTTAAACATTGCATCTTCCATTATTAAGAAGTATTAATGTAGTGAAGAAACCAAATTTAAGGCTTCCCTCTGAAATTATTGTTCTTTGGAATAAAATTGAAAAACGTGTAATTCACTGTTCAGAGCATACTAAGAATGTTTTATAATCAAGAGAAAAGGAGGAAAGAAAAAGTATAAAGTATAAAAAACAATATAGGATAAAACTATGAATGAGAAAGTTTGTCAATAAATTAACAACTCAACAAACAACTGTAAAACATTGTGAATATAATCAACATTGGATAACTCGAACACCAAAACAATAAATCTACTACATGAAAGCATGTTTCTTATTATCTTTCTGGTAATTTGCAGGACCTTTAATGTCAATTTCTTAAAATTTTTAAGCAGGACATTATAACCAGCAATACTAGTCATTCTTTATCCTCTGGAACTTCCAGATCTATGTTTTCTACATCAACACAAATGGCTACTGAAGTCAGTACTGATAAAATTCCTTCAAAATTGTTGCTCATTGGGGGAAATGAGAAATATCTTCAATAATTCTTAAAAATTTTAGCCCTGCCCTCTTCTCAATATATTGGTTTTACTTAATAAATTCATTCTATCTGTATTCACTTTCCCAGAATCCCTAAAAATTAGTATTGTAAGACACTTGCTAGATAATAAATAACACATGTTAGGATTACCGAACCCATACTTACTTCCGTATTGGCAAACTATGAAAAAGTTATATTAGGAAGACTATTGTTTTCTTGAACTAATAATATCTTAACAAATCGCTACATGGCTTCAAGGAAGGCTTCTCCACCACCTATACCTGCTTTTCTGCCATTCGTAATGAATCATTGGAAATTTTGAATCAAATAGGGAAAAAGCTATATTCATTGATCTTACACGGCATTTGAAGTGTATCTCATGAAAAATTGTTTGACAAAACTAGATTCTTATGGAATAAGGGGTGGAGTTATGACCTCAATTAGATCATACCTAACAAGATGTATGCAAATGTCAGAGCTCATCTGGCAATCTGAAAATTTTTTATCCTAAGTTCAATTAATTTTGATAATAATGCCACAGGGTGTTCCGCAAGTATCTGAGCTTTGCCTTGCTATTTCTAATATATGTTAATGATATTCCAAGCTTCATCTGATTTCTCAATAATTTCTATGCAATGATACACTTGACTGAATCTTTAAAATCAATTAAAAGTTATTTTTCTATAAATGAATTGAAATTGAAATGTTGATAAAAGCTGTGTGTTATTATTTCAAAGTTTATATAATTTATCAAGGTTAAGTATAACATATTAAATTATTAAGTATGATGTGTTAAATAATGTAACATAACTTATTGTAAGTTTTAAATAAATTTCTAGATAGGCTTTGCTTGATACTTTTCCTGTAAGTCGTAAGCAATAAAATATTATTATTATTTAAACGAAAGATCATCAGG